TGTTTAACAACCATATTATGCAAGTGCGGCGATGTGCCACGATCTGGTATTTCTGCGCACACAATCCTATCGCTTTTGAGTTCATTGGTCATTTATTAGTCCCTTAATCCTGAAGCATGTTTCACATTAGGCTTTCTTTGTAAGGCATAGTTCAAGATTCAATTTTTAATTTCCTGTTATGATGTTTTCTGATAAGATATAGCTTAATCTCTTGTGTTTAGGCTAATTCTGTATTATTGGAATCTGATTTATTGTTAAATCATGTGTTTTTTTTAATTATTCTATAAAGGTATGATGTTCTTGTATTTACTTTATTTGGATTTCCCCTAATTACAGGTTTTATAAAGATTCTTTGTCTTGTTTTCTTCATCTTTATATGTTTTCTATCTGTCATTTGTTTTCCAGTAATGGAGTAGTTGTGGCTCTATGTATTATGTAATAATTCAATATCAGCTCCATCCAAAACAGTTTTATTTTTTATTTTTTAGTTTATTTAGTTATCTCCCCTTAATTTCCAGTTTAACTCTCAAAATCCTGTTAGATTCCTTAAGTTTTAACTTTTACTACATAAATAATTTCTTCTAAAAGTAGAAGTACTTTTTTATTTATTTTTGCCAAACACTCTCATTGTATATCTTGTGATAGATTTGCAGGAGGAGAAAGAAGCGGATTGGTTGTTAGAATATATTACTTGCCTACTTTCACTTGCCGTGTTCGGTATTTTAGGGGTGAGCCGCTAAAACTTTCTTATGATGGTTTTTTTTTCCTGTTTTGAATTCTTCAAAGTCTATGTTGTTTTGATTTGTGTTTATACAAAGAGATTAAGAATATGGGGAATATTTTATTCTTTTTTTTTCTAATTTTGCGCTAATGTTATTATTGGACAGGTCCTAGCTCGATATACCCTTGAGAATCTCTTTGGACCCAATGTAATTGGTCTACATGTATCTTGATCTTCCTTCGAATATTGTCTCTCTCTCTCTCTCTCTCTCTCTGCATAGTAACATTTTTGAAATGTTAATTGAACCATGAAAATTATTGCATTAACTCAGTGAAAGATGCTGGCTTTATTTTATGTGGTACACATAAGTTGTATTAGCTGCTTCGAATTTGTATGATCTATACTAAATATATTGATATGTTAATTCTCGATCTTTTTTTTTTATATTTTATTTCAGGTTGGTTCTTTTTTGATGGGTTGGTTAGGCGTTGTTTTTAAACCGGACATTTTGCGAATTTCGGACCAATTAGCTATTGGGCTGACAACGGGTTTTCTGGAGGGCCTAACAACTTTCAGCGGTTGGAATCAAAATACGCTCGACCTTAGTGTTGAGGGTCGTTGGGTATTTTCCGTGCTCGGCATTTTCTTAGGTAATTAAAAATATCAAATTAAATAAATCAAAATGCAGTTAATGTATTTCCAGGTTATTTTCCGTGCATGGATATAAGATTTTTTTTTTTTTTTTTTTTTAATTTTGTGGTTTTTTTTTTTTTGGTTTAGTTTTGGTTACTCTCTATGATCTGAGAACTTTCATGTGTCTTATTCCTCATAAATTTGTGGTCATAACTCATAAATATTCATTTACTTTATTTGGTTGTTTGGTAATCTTTTGTGATTGTTTTTCTGCTGAGTATCGTTAACTAAATATTATAGGTTAGACTGGAAGGACAAAGAACGTCCAGTTTTCAAGATTTGTTGGATTGATCAATATCTTTTTCTCTGAGATATCTAAACAATGGTGTCTCATGTGCATTCATCCTTTTAACTTGATCAGAAACTGGAGGAGGACTGTGAATCGTCTTATTGTCGAGTGTTGTCTGGTGTTGCTGCGAGAGAAATGATCATTAGGGCTTTCTTGGTAGAGGAACAAACGATTGTGAAGAAGGTATTGAAGATTCAGAAAGCAAAGGAAAAACTTGTTGCTAAGAGCAACTAGAAAGTAAGTAGATATGATTATGGAACTGTATCGAAGTTTTTGGAGCATAATATATGTATTTTAGTTTTTTTTTTATCATTAAAAAAAAAGAATGACATCTTATTTTTGTTGATTCTTGTGAATGTGGCCTATTTATTTTCTTCAGTTTGTTGAGCAATCATCTTATTCTTAAGATTTTTAGATTCTCATCCACCTGATGTCCCTTTGAATTCTGTTTGGATTTTTCCGTGATATGGTTTAAAGGCTTTGGTTTCATTAAGAAGAAAGGTCAACTTTGAGAAGAATGACATTATTTAAATTACAACCAACGTGTTATTATTTTGTGTTTTTGATTACATCAACAAGACGAGTAACTTCCCAGATAATGCTTCCTCATGTCGATGTCGGGCAACTTTATCAGACCATGTAAGAAGATTATTTTGGATAAGTCATTTTTCCACCGATTTTGGTCTTAAGATTGTTGATGCTGTAGTTAAATGAGTGTCCACGGCCTCCTTGTGCAGGTACAACATCCATCAGTTTCTGATGATAGTGAAGATTACGGGAATAAAAGACTATGTTTTTTGTTCTTTGCTCGAGGGCGCATTACAAATGGTTTATTGTCCATAGACGTATAATGGTGGTCATTTGACCTGTAGAAAAATGACATCTTATTAGCTGAGTTCGGACTTTCTCTCAATGTAGTTGTTCAAAAAGCCGACAAGGGATGTAAGGTCATATGTTCAAGACGTTTGCCACTTCTTGATTTTCCTGTAATAGTGGAGGACATGGATTTAGCCGTTCGAGCTGTTCTCAAGGGCTGCAAATTCTTATACCTGGGTGGGTGATCTGCAGGTGCATTTTCAATTAACATCTGGCACGTTTTGTCTGTGTTAACCCGAAATTCGGGATGATATTAAAATTTCACATTAATTGATTCGCTGGGACTAAGCGTGTTTTTTTTCCTGGGAATTATAAATAGGCAAAAGGCGAGCTTCCAAGTACTGTCAAGGCCTTCCTATTCCAGCAACATTGCTGGACCTATGGGCCTGCCAATTTATTCAGGAAAATGCTGATGGAAATTGCTGTGAATGAGGTCTGGTTTTATTTTTTT